TTTCATTCGTCTGTTGTTGTTGTTGTTTGTAATTCAGCACAAAGCTACACAACGGGCCAACTGTTCTCTGGCCACCACAGGTATCGAAACCCGGATTCTAGCGTTGTAAATCCGCAGACATGCCGCTGTGCCACTGGGGGGGTTCACTCGTCTGTAAACAAGGGAAGCTATGTTTTATCACACGGCAAAGTGTCTGTCTGTATACTATTCTGTACTTTTGATTTCCTCTATTACAGTCAGGATTTAGTCCTGTGATGTTTGTTACCATTCATAACAAATGATCATGAAGAGAGCAACCACAAAATTACTTTAAAAAAATTATTTTAAACTATTTATGCACCAAATTGAGTCTGCGTTTATGACTTTGCTGATTATTACAGAATCTAGAGGTTGCAATCCCGAAGCTTTTTTTTTTTTCGAATCCCGGTATTTCTGGATTTCAGTGGCTCAAATTCCTATATCCTGGCCGGTATCTTAAATCTCCATAGATATTAACAACCCGTTAAAAAGTAAAAAGGACCATGAAACTCGATGCGATTGACCCCAGGATACATTTAATACTAAATCGTAATCTTATCAGTTACTTAAAAAAACAAAAACAAAACATTAAAACTGATAAAAAAAAAGAGGTAAAAATACAACCTGTAAAGTGGTTCTTTTTTTAACGAACAGTTTAATGTACGCAACTAAAACCAGCGTTTGCCGCATAAGACTTTTTAGTTAGTGACAAGGTCAGCTTGTTTTACTATACCGATAATCAATTCATGCTCTTAACATTAGGCATGGTTTAGTGTTAAATATGCCGGTTTTGTGAATCTGAGAGGTCACAGTTCGCGTCCCGTTATTGCAAAATTGCTCTCCGTACGTTGGACGTTGGGGCTGAAATGCGTTATAAGAGTAACGGTTAAATCCCACTATTCAATTAGAGTACCCAAAAAATACCTGTAGCTTCTGTTAACTGTTACCCGATCTTTAGTCCCTCAGTTCAAAAATTAGGGATGGCCAGCGCAGATATCCCTTGTGTAACTTAGTATGTATATCTAAAAGTATGGTTATGGTATCAATCTAAGATTATGGGATTGGATCTTTATATTCCCGCCGACTGTTTGTTTACTTGAGTGTTGCACATCACTATCTCGCGTGCATCCTTTTGCACTGTCGGTCAGAACTCATTTTCACCGCTACATTTTTAATCACTCCAAATGCCGATATAATTTTTATTCTTTAACTGATTATCTGTTTGTTTAGTTTGTTTTATGAATTTATGCACAAAGCTACACAAAGGGCTATCTGTGCTCTGCCCACCACGGGTATCGAAACTCGGTTTCTAGTGTTGTAAGTCCGCAGACATGCCACTGTACCACTGGGGGGGCATTTGATTATCTTATTTTATTTATTCATTTATTATTATCTTATTTTATTTATTTATTTATTATTATTTTATTTTATTTATTTATATCTTATTTTATTTATTTATATATATCTTATTTTATTCATTTATTTATTATTACTATCTTATTTTATTTATTTATTTATTATTATCTTATTTTATTTATTTGTTTATTATTATCTTATTTTATT